CAAACTTTTATGAGGCAATGAAACACACCCATTGGCGTAAGGCAATTGTCGATGAATTTGAAGCATTAATAAGAAATGGCACATTCTCTCTTGTACCACCTAAGGAAGAGCAAAATATTGTTAGATGTAGATGGTTATTTTGTATCAAAAGAAATAGTGATGGTTCCATTGCTTGCAACAAGGCGCGTCTTGTTGCCAAGGGTTTCACACAATGTCCTGGTATTGACTTCAAGGAGACATTCGCACCAGTTGTTTGCCCATAAACAATTAAGATTTTTCTTACCCATGTAATCTCTCATCAATGGTCAATTCACCAACTTGATGTGAACAATGCATTCTTATAAGGAGCTCTTACTAAAGAGGTCTTCATGGACCAACCGCCAAGTATGAAAGACGCGACACACCTCAACTATGTATGCAAACCTTATAAGCCCATATATGGCCTACGTCAAGCACCAAGACCATGGCATGACTCTCTAAAGGATTCTATCACCGCGTATGGATTTCAAATAAGCAAAAGTGATCCACCATTGTTCATTTATCACTCAAGTGATACTAAGGCTTGTTTTCTAGTCTATGTAGATAACTTGCTGCTCACCGGTAACAACTTCACATTCCTTCAAAGCTTCACCAAGGCACTATCTCAACGATTTTCGTTGAAAGATATGGGACAACCTCACTACTTTCTAGGTATTGAAATAATACCAACAAGCTCTAGAACTTTTCTTTCTCAACACCGGTACATTCGTGACCTCTTACAAAAGTTTGACATGGAGGGGTGAAACCATCTCCCACACCACTTTCTTCCACAACAGTGCTACAACTTCACGATGGTACATCATCCACTGATGCCACAAAGTTTCGTAGAATTATTGGTGGACTTCAGTACATTAATCTTACTCGTCAAGACTTGTCATACTGCATCAATAAGTTGTCCCAATTTATGCATAAACCAACCTCCATACTCTTGCAGCACTTAAAACACATCATTTGGTATATCAAAAGAACCATTAATCATGGTCTCATGCTACGAAAAGCTGTTGCAAACAACTTGTTAGCATACTCTAATGCAGATTTGGGATGGGAACAATGATGATCGCACATCTACCTCGGTTTACACCATTTTCTTTGGAGGCAACCCAATTTTGTGGCTCTCGAGAAAGTAATGAACTGTTGCACAGCCATCTACTAAGGCTGAATATCGTGCAGTTGCTACCGCTACCACTGAACTTATATGGCTACAAAACTTACTTCATGAGCTAAGAAAACCCATACATGAACCTCCACGACTATTGTGTGACAGTGTGGGTGCCACATTCCTTTGTTCCAATCCTGTACTTCATTCAAGAATGAAACATATATCATTAGATTATCATTTTGTCAGGGAACAGGTTCAAACCAACAAGCTTATCATAACACATGTGTCTACCAAGGATCAGCTGGCAGATTTACGTACTAAACCACTTCCCACAACCAAGTTCACTGAACTCATGTCCAAGATAAAGGTCATTGATGGAACCTTCATCTTAAGGGGAGGTAATGGACAAACATAATCAATTTGAATAATCAAGCAATAAAAGAATATTTGAACTGGTCATCAAATATTAAAGGAGAGTTATTTGGTTATTATTAGCATTTAGAGGCATATAACTTTGTCAAGCAGTAACAGCTAGTTAGCTAAAGTTTAGGCTTAATTCAAGCATTTTCTATTCAATCTTTACTCTGTAATATATGTATATATGATGTTATATATATTTGTAATAAAACAATGATAAAGAAATACATTCACTTATAGTTAATAGCCAAAATGATAGATAAGTTGAAGCTGGCCACCATGGACTGCTGAGGCATAGTCTTTTATTGAATGCATCGTTCTTATCAAAAGGAGAATAAGAAGTTCACCAGCTGAAATTACAAGGATAAAAAAAGGAAATCAATACAAGCAAAGCATAAGTATACAACTTCAATCACAAAAAAGAGTTAGAAACATAGTGAAGAATAAACCTCTTATTCATCCATCAAAGTCTTCAACATGACATCAACTTCACATGTAAAAATCTCGTAGGCAATGAATGGAAACCTAAATTACAATATGGTAACAAAATGTAATTCCTTAAATTAAATAAAGTCAGTCAATTTAGTCATTTCCTTAAAATATTTCTTTAGTAAACATCCATTGAAATTAAGGAAAGACATAACTTATTGACTTGAATCATCACTTCGTGCATCAAGACAAACATAGAACCTTCAAAACAATGCTGTTAAATTTGGAATAGAACTAAACTGATTGGCGTTCAATTTAAGGGACAAAATTGCTATTTTGAAAATTTGAGGAACTAAATTAACAGATACTTCCAATTTTAAGGACTAAATTGTTGATTTACTCAAATGAAAATGCACAAAACTTTGAGGCTTCATAAAAAAAACGACTCGAAAAAACTATGCTCCAAATAGGAAAAAGTGGAATAAAATAGAAGAAATAATAACCAATTTAGTTCAAAGTAATAGTTTTGTTAGAAAAAGTAAATTTTAGATACGTTTTACATCAAATCAATGATATGGCAAAATTATAAATAAGGATAGAAGAATTTTCTACCACTTCTTCTTTTCTTATATTATAAATAAATATTTTACTTATTTTGTAATAGTGACTAGTCAAAAGAGTCAACTTTAACAATATTTGTAGTTATTACGCCTAGTATAAATATCCTTAAGACTTTTTATAAATTTTAGATTTTGATGTAATTTTTGTAATTGGTGAATTATAATTGAGTTAGAATACTCCTAAGTAAGAATTATATTTTGCCAATAAAAATAAATAGATATTGCCTTTTGCTTCCTAGGAAAATAGTGATGATCATAACCAAAGAACACGTGACATTGTTCCACCTAAATAGTTGAATTGAATGTAACATAATAATAAGATGGATAGAGTTGCAATTACGGAAAATTACTAAAATTGCAATCGATTAATCAAAATCATTCATTAAATAAACATTACATCAAACGGTTCAGAATATAGATGCACCGAATAGTCCACCTACCACGTTAATAGAATTACAAACCTTATTAAGGGGTAGGCTTGTTGGAGCAGGCAAATTGGAAACTTGGTTTTGAAGTTTTTTGTCCTTTTGTTCCACAACAACTCTCTACATAGTCCCTTTCCCTCTCACAACAACTCCTCTTCTGATTTCCACTAACTATGTTCCTATATCACTTTAACTTGAAAGCAATTGACATTTCTTTCCATTAGTCTACACCTAACAATGGAAAATAACTATATCTAATTGTATTAATTTATATATTTACTACCTCCAATATTATGGAATAAAATCACACATTAAATCCACCAATTACTAGGATCGGAGTTTGTACAACTTTAGTCTCTGATTTTCTTAGATATTATAGGTGAGAAACTTGTTTCTCCCATTATTAATTAGTGAGTTTATTTAGACAGTAATTGGTATTGGCATTGCCCATGGGCATATACTATTATACCAATTAAAATAAAGACTACCTTATTATCCACACAAAAATACAACTAAGTCTTGCTTTTAATATGCATTCCACGGTGGTCAACATAGTTCAACTCAACCACATTTTAATATTTTACTTAGTTATCTGCTAAAATAAAAATATTTTACATAGTAGTATATACTTAAAATAGAAAATTTAGTTTTAATAAATAAATAAAAATTTGAAAAAATCAAAATAGAAAGACCAAACGGTAATTAAGTTAAAATATTCAAACCTCTACCTTTTAGAATAATTTAGACTCATCCTAAATTATAATATCATATTCGATTATAGTTGTGGAGGATCAATAGGTGATTTTCACTACTAAATACAACATCAATTACCCCCTTAATATCGATAGCTAAAAATCATGTAATTTAGAGATACAGTAATTTAGACCCACCTTTGAGATAACAAACTCTCACACGCCTAGTCCAGACACAAAGACCCTCACTCACATGACTTCACCAACCCCAAACCTATTTGGGTCATTTCCAACCACGTCTGTGGGACCGTGTCATTCAACTAACCTTTTGTAGATCACCTACATCCCACCGTCCAATCCCGTTTATGTATCGTGCATGCTAGTGTGTCAAAGAGTTACAAAACTTGGAAATATAAATAAAACTATTTAAAAATAAATATATAAATATCAATTTGAGAGGACCACTTTACTAGTAACGATTTAATTAACCTTTTTTTTTATAAATACAAGCATGATAATATTAATTTTGCAAACAATCCATTTATGGAAAAAATATCCACCTTAAAATTGCATAAATGACAATTGTGTTTAAAAGTATTTTGAATTTTTATCAAAAATTTAACTAAAATGTTTTAAAAATATTTTGCACCATCATTTAATCATAATCGTTGATTTATTTAAAAAAAATAATTTTAATTTTAATTTTTTAAAAATAATATATTTAAATGATTATAATATACTGATGGATTGATATGTAAAAATATCTACATTATTAATGCATAATAATTAAACTCTTTAATTTTACAATTTATATCTAATAATTTAATATTATTTTAAATAATAATTACACCAAAATATCTTTACCAATTCTATTAAGAAAAAGAGAAATCCTACTAAAAAAATGAAAAAACAAATACACAAAATCCCTACTAATTCTACCAAAAGAAGAAAAGAAAATCCCTACTAAGAAATGAAAAAACATACATGCAAAAAAGAAAAGAATAAATAAATAAATCACTAGACTCTGGCCCACACTTATTCCTTTGCTTTAGTATAGTAAAACCTCACCAACCACGGACCGCACGCCAACCGGTTCAACCAAACACCACAGCATTTTTTCCTAAACCATCCCGGTTCGAACCGGATTTTTCCTCCCTTATATAACCCATCTTCTTATCTCCTTCTCAAACAGGCTCCAATTATCTCTTCAACACATAGCAGAAACTGAAACGGGTGGAGAAGGAAGAAAAGGAAACAAAAACAGTAGAAGAATATAACAATGGCAACCAACGAGGATCAAAAGCAAACTGAATCTGGAAGACACCAAGAGGTTGGTCACAAGAGTCTTCTCCAAAGTGATGCTCTTTACCAGGTATGTACACCCAATTTCACTTTGATTCTTTAGAATGAATTAAAATTTAAGTTCTTAAAAAATTAATTGATTATTTTTAATTGTGAACAGTATATTCTAGAGACCAGTGTTTTCCCAAGAGAACATGAAGCCATGAAAGAATTGAGAGAGATCACAGCAAAACACCCATGGTAAAGAAAAACTCGATCTCTTCTAACTCGTTAAATTTTGTTAATTTGTTTACTTTATATGTTTTTGGTTATTGATTATTTAAATAAATAAAAAAACAGGAACCTCATGACAACCTCTGCAGACGAAGGACAATTTTTGAGCATGCTCCTTAAACTCATCAATGCCAAGAACACCATGGAAATTGGTGTCTACACTGGCTACTCCCTCCTTGCCACTGCCCTCGCCATTCCCGAAGATGGAAAGGTAATATTCATCTCCGAGATTCGAGAGATTAATCTATGCAGTTGCAAGATATTAAAAATTAATCATTGAATATTTATTTTGTAACAGATTCTGGCTATGGATATTAACAAGGAAAATTACGAACTGGGTCTTCCTGTGATAAAGAAAGCTGGTGTTGATCACAAAATTGATTTCAGAGAAGGCCCTGCTCTACCAGTTCTTGATGAAATGGTTAAAGATGTAAGCTTTACCATTATTTTCTCTAACCGAATTGAAGAATTTAAAATATAAAAAAAACATTAATGGAAAAAATCAACGATTAATAAACATGACTAATTAATTATTTGTGTTTGTATAAATTTTAGGAAAAAAATCATGGGAGCTACGATTTCATTTTTGTGGATGCTGATAAGGACAATTACATAAACTACCATAAAAGATTGATTGATCTTGTTAAAGTGGGAGGTGTGATCGGCTACGACAACACCCTATGGAACGGATCTGTGGTGGCACCTCCTGATGCTCCTCTCAGGAAGTATGTTAGGTACTACAGAGATTTCGTGTTGGAGCTTAACAAGGCTTTGGCTGTGGACCCTAGGATTGAGATCTGTATGCTTCCGGTTGGCGATGGAATCACTATCTGCCGTCGGATCAAGTGATTGATTTGCATGTGCATATCATGTACCGCTCCACATTATTATGTGGGAGTTTATGCATTTATTAAAAAGTCATCAAGTTTTATTTTTATTTTTTTTCTTCAAAATATTTGTGTTTAATTTTCTCTTCTCATTGACATTGAGATGGCGAATAATTGGAACTATATATATGTTTGGCCTTTTATATAATACTTGGTTCATTTTAAAAAAACACGTTTTATTTTTATTTTGAAGCCAATTATTCTCCCAGTTGAATTACATTGTAAAGTTTGCTATTGCTTCACAATAGATGCAAATGGGATAAATACAACTTAAAAATTTTAATTGCGATGATAACATTTTTAACTGTGATGATAACATTTTGTAGTATAGTTGCAACTTGCAACAAATTGGTACAACCTTTGGTGCTAATAAATTTCTACCCTTTTTTCTTCTCTTGTCAAAGTTGCTTTGCCTCCACTGAATCCCACCCACTAAAATTTAATTTGGTCCATAAAGACTTCTCAACTGCTCCCACTGCATATCTGTTTTTTTTATATGAAATGTTAGATTAGGAGAACCGCCATGAAGGAGGGAATCTCTTGGATAATTTTCTATGATACTGAAAGATATGGATGTTGGAATTGATAGAAGGATAAAATATAATTTAGAATTTATATTATTAGTTATTAGTATTGTTATTGGGCTATTGTTGTAATTGGGCTCTTAACTTATTATCCATTAGGAATATTATATATGTATTGTCTTTGACACACTTTAGGGTATCAAATGAAAAATCAAGTATTATCTTTATTATCCTTTAGTTTTATCTCTCTTAGTTTTATTTATCTTCTTCATTTTCTGTTTTCATTAGTCTTGTTTGGTTTCTAACCTAGCTTCCTATCAATTGGTGCTTTCATTCTTGAACTTCAATCCTTCCATGGCATATTCATATTATCATTCTTTCACCTCATACACTCCATACATTCCATATCAACAACACATAATTTCTACTGTACCTCAAGAATCATCTTCCACCTTCCATGAACATTCAAGTTACCATAGCTATCAATCTGAATCTCAAGATTTCTATTCACAACTAAAAACTCTAAAACAGTATTTGATTGAAACTCAGAAAATCGAAAATGAATATAGAGAAGAGTTGAAAGAATTGGTTCAAAATTTGAGTTATTCTCTCAAAACTTCGTCACAAGAGTTTTCTAATGCCCAAAGAAAATGCACAGAAAAGTTTCAACAATTTATTGTTGAAAAAAAACTAGAGCAACAGGAAGAAGAAGAAGAAAAACTTCCTGATTCACTAAAACAGTCTCCGAAGTTAACTCCGACAGAGTCTCCGCCGTCATTCCCGGTGATACATCTGACAGCACATTCGAAGACATCTCAAAGGATATTTCTGGCGAAGTTTCCGACTCCAGCAACATCTCCGATGAAATTCCCGACATCTTCTTCGACAACAGCTCGGGAATCTTCTTTGGCTACTCCGACATCACTTCCAACGAATTTCCCGACGATATTTCCGACAACTTCTCCAGTACCACTTTCAAAGTCTTCTCCGTTGAAAATTCCGGCCTCACTTCCGGCGACTATTTCAGCATCAATACAAGAACCATCAGATCTACAACCAGAACCACCTAACCTACCATCAAAACCTCCAGATACAGTGAAATCCCACGATGCAAGGAGAATCACTGATGCATTCTGTAAATCTATCATATGTTTTTCAAAACCAATTCAATTAGAGAGTCATCTTATCGGTCCATTAATTTCAATAGTTTCACCAAACTTTACCTACAGTGCCAATAAAAATCTTCCACCACCACCAAAGCCACCGGGCCGACGTTGTTATGTATTGGCCTGGAAATTGTTCTCCAACGAGATGAAGCCTCTGACAATCACTTCAGTGTTACAAATTTTATGTTCACAACAAGTTTTCTTGCCCCAAAAACCTGCACATAAACTGTTTGTCAAATTGTCAGCCATAGCTAGGAAAACTCCCAACAATTTGGCGCAAGATGAAAGTTTTCCATATGTATATTTTACACCTAGCTATGGATTTGCACAGTCTCCATACAATCCTTATATTCCAGGTGCTATGATGGGAGTTGATGGGTCATTTGGAGGAGCACAACAGTATTACTCCATCCCTAATGACCAAAACCCTATTTCTGCGCCAACTTATCTTCCTGAGGTTCAATCAGAACATTTTCATGACAGTTCTGTTGATCCATTATTCGACAACAATGCTTATGTCAATAGACCTGATGGAAGAGGTACAAACCATAAGTTCAATTCAGCCTCTGCTGCTTTTACTATTAACTCTTCAAAACCATTATCAAGTCAGACAAGTTCCTTAGTCTGGGAACCTGAGGGGCCAAGAGCTGATGCTTTGGCAAAGAAGGAATTGACAAATGGAAGCGGCCCTAACAGTGGTTTTCCTAATTTTGCTTCATCACCTTATCATCAGGCTAGAAGTGCAGATGTCTCATTTCAGCCTAAAGATACTTTTTCCAATGGAAATGTTTTGTCCCATCGTAATCAATTGAATGTAGCTGCCTCGATGAGTAATGGGTTTTCTAACTATGGATTGAATGCTTCTGGACAGTCATCAATTGCTAAATTTCGGCCAAAGGTTCATGCTGCTAAAGTTTCGGGTGATTTAAATAGGGGCAGTGATGTATTCTTGGGTGAGCTAAATCGGGGCCCTAGAACTAGTAGGCCGAAACATCATATGGCAGTCAAAGCCTATACAGCCAAGGCAGGAGATGCCAACACTCAAGAGAACATTATTTATACTGATCAATATAACAGGGAGGACTTCCCTATTGACAATGAAATTGCGAAGTTTTTTGTTATAAAATCATACAGTGAGGATGACGTTCAAAAAAGCATTAAATATAATGTGTGGTCATCAACTTCCTATGGAAACAAGAAACTGCAGAGTGCCTTTGAAGGCTCTAGGAGAAAAGCTATTGGAAAATCTGGAGGCTGTCCTATCTTTCTTTTCTTTTCAGTTAATGCCAGTGGTCAATTTTGTGGAGTTGCTGAGATGGTTGGTCCTGTTGACTTTGATAAGGATGTGGACTTCTGGCAGCAAGATAAATGGAGTGGGAGCTTTCCTGTAAAGTGGCAGATCATAAAAGATGTTCCAAATACCAATTTTAGGCACATTATACTAGAGAACAACGAGTTCAAGCCTGTAACTAATAGCAGAGACACACAAGAGATAATGTATAGGAAGGGTTTGGAAATTCTGAAGATATTCAAAAATTATACTTTGAAGACATCTTTGCTTGATGACTTTATGTACTATGAAAACCGACAGAAGGTCATGCAGGAGGAGAAAGCTAAAGTTCTAAGCAAGAATTTTGGAAGTCCATCATCAATATCAGTGTTGGAGCCGCCTCGAAAGCTGGCTTATGCTTTTGAAATTCCTCCTGTCAGTGATGAGAAAAATTCAAAGATGGACGATCTCGATAGCTTAAAACATATTTCAATTTCAAGTGTTGGAGCTACTGTTAATAGTTCCGATGCAACCAGCAATGTATCTGCGAATGAAAAGGCCGAAACAGGTGAAGTTGATAGCCAAGATATTTCTTCTGTCCTGAAGATTGGTTCTGTCACTATTACCCCCAAACAGGTACCGATTGATGTTGTCACAGTAGGCTCAAGCAGCTTCACTACTGTTGCGGGAAGAAAAAAAAGAGTGTGTTTTGGTATTATTTTAGAACCTTGAGGACAAGGTTCAAGTGAACCCGGCGGCAATGATAGAAGGATAAAATATAATTTAGAATTTATATTATTAGTTATTAGTATTGTTATTGGGCTATTGTTGTAATTGGGCTCTTAACTTATTATCCATTAGGAATATTATATATGTATTGTCTTTGACACACTTTAGGGTATCAAATGAAAAATCAAGTATTATCTTTATTATCCTTTAGTTTTATCTTTCTTAGTTTTATTTATCTTCTTCATTTTCTGTTTTCATTAGTCTTGTTTGGTTTCTAACCTAGCTTCCTATCAATTACTTAATTTAAGTATTATATTTTAATAATAATATGGATATAAATTTTTATTTAATTATATTAGTTAATTATGAGTTTTAATTGGTTAAATAATAATGCTAATTATATTTTTAATTAATATGAGTTTAATATGAGTGTGTCATAATCTACTTCAAAATAATTGTTAAAATAAAGTTAATTCAGTGCACATAAGAGATTGCACTTTATGTCAATTTTGTATTTTATCAATCAGAACTTACAATACCAAAGTGTAATTAATTGATATAATATGTGAACCAATTACATCAATAGTACTTTTAACTAAAAATTGATTTAGTATGTAAGTGCAGCTAGTTGCTAAAATATGTCAACCGATTACACCAATGAGTTTTTAGTTTTTATTCGTTTGATAATTGTATCTCATATTTTGTAGTTGTATAAATACCTTTTGAGTATTTTATGAATGAAGTAATGTACATATTTTTTTATCCTGAATTATTACTCTCTCTCTCTCTCTCTCTCTCTCTCTCTCTCTCTCTCTCCACACTCAATATTCTCAATTATTCACCAATTTTTTGGTTTCAAACTCTAACATTTTGCATCAAGAGTCTGGTTTGATCCATCAAACACTTAGTGTGGGAAAATGACTTGTATTTTCAATGAATGAATCTCTGCAGATCTCTTAATTCTCGATGCGAATAATTAATACAAGTGGTGCAAATAGATTAATGTGTTGTTTGAATATCAAGATGTTCGTGAAGTGATCAAAAATGAAGTTACTCCACTTGTAGAAGGTGGGACAGATACACAAAGGTTTATGCATAAAGAAGAGAAGACATAAGATTATAAGGTGATGTTTTTTATCCATCAATGTGTTGATGGTGATAACTTTGAGAAAGTTGATGATTACACTACTTCGAAGCAAGTGTGAGAAATATTAGAGAAAACGTATGTAGAAGCTGACAAGGCAAATGTGGTGACATTACAAACTCAAAAGAG